TAGCTAACAGGCACTTAGTTCGCAAACCTTCAAACATCATTTATTTGTACATGTAAAATTATACTTGATGAATAAATCTTGCAGTTGCAAATAAAAATTTTGGCAGTCTGTTCTAGGACAAATAAAATTATGCTGTGCGTTCCATAGAATCATTCTTAATGTGTCACTAACTGTTAATCAAAGACTATTTAGTTTGTCTCACGGTCAATATCGTACACCATTGAAAACCCATAAGCTCAAAACTGTTTCGTCTAACTTAATACTCGATATATTTTCTGCAGTTGCTCCTCTCAAAGGCACCGTTTGAATAATCCATTGAATTAACTAATTATTCCAACAAAGAACTTTAACAAACTTTGCTTATACACCGTGCCTCCAATAAAAAACACCTCTCTTCCTGTCAATTCTTCATTCCAACAACAAAGCACCACTAAACCTATTAGCTGAATTCATAATTATGATGAGTTTCAACCACAAAAGATTTTAATTGTTCTGCAAGAACAAAGAGATAATCTAAACCTGTTAAGCTGACAAAAAGCACAACTTCTTGAACTGCTTTAAATTGTGTTTTTTCCCCTTAACTGTACCTTTATCATCGCCTCGGACTATTGTAGGAATGTACCATATTTTCTGAAAGATATGCCCAAGGAATCACAAAAGCAACATACTCTTTAGATGAGATCAACAAAGCTTTGCTTCTTTAAAATCACTCATCAAGAAAGATTTGTAAGAACAAATTATCTGAGTATTCCATAGGTGTGAAGACGTATAATCAAATGCAGTTACTGTTTCGTTCTCGACATCATCCGACAAAATTCTGCAACACAGTTAGTTAGCCGATATAAAATTCTTTTCCATAAAGAAGCAAGTATAGTAAATTTGAATGTGTTTTTGATGGCTTCTTCTTTGCATATACTACAGTATTATAAAAATATTATATTTTAAAATGCAGCCAAAGTAATTCGACTTATTTTCAAAATCCTTAAAAATTCTTGTGAAAAAAGTTCGAGCCCAAAAACTCTATAAAAATTTATAAAGTTCAGGAAATAAAGAATATTACTAGTTACCATCAAAATTTATTCGACCATCATTATTAGTGTCTACATGTCGATAAATGGCATTCATGTCGCTATCGGTAAGTGTATGACCCATCCGCTGGAAAGCTTGCCTTAGTTCTGAACGCCGTAAATAACCGTCACCGTCAACATCAATTTCATCAAAGACTGTCCGTAAGGACAAGGCTATTGGGTTTCGATGAGCGATGGAAAGAAATTCTGCAAACAAAGAGATTTTGCTTTTCAAGATGGCTGCATCGGTAAAAATCAACTCTGTCAGCGAGAGGATTTCTTCCAAACTTCAACAAGATTTTTTTCAAAAATATGTATTAGATTATTGACATTTGTACAGTATACAAATTAAGCAACAACTGCACTTTCCTCTTCTGTTATTTACCGCACCGTTTTCGATAAGTAAATATATATGAGAACTGAAGCTGTGGAAAATGTAAAAATTCAAAACAGCTAAACAACTATAGTTGAATGTAAGAAAACAAAAGCGTTTCTTAAGTATGCTACGGTTTATGCGTACTGAATTTCAAAGCTTTTAAATGAAATAGTTGAAAGAAAACCAAGTTTAAAGAAGTATATATTGCACGTTATTTGAAGCGTTTCACTTAAAGACATGTAAATCCTGTTGCGCACCCCTTTCTTTATAAGACATTGAGCGAAAAAATTAGCCAGTACCTTCAAATTTTAAAGAAATGTAAACGAGAAGTAACTTAGCAATAAAAAGATAAACCATAGTATTTTAACCAAAAAAAAAAAAA